TAAATGATAACAAGATAGGCTTTTGTCACACACTTTTCAAATTACACAAAAAAACGGGAAGCTTTTTATTTGATGAAGGGAAAAATAAGAATGATAAGGAAATCTACATTTGAAATACATATAAAACGAATAGAATGATACTTTTTATTTAAATTCGAATATTTTATACTTAAAAGTCTAAAAAATGAACAAAACTGCAGCTTTTATGAATAAATTAAAAAGAATCTAAACTTAGATGTCGAAAACGCCAAGAAAAAGAAGCAGTATGCTTGAATAATTCTTTCTGTGTGCTGTTTCTTTTTCACGTTTAAGAATCACTTTCGAATATCAAGAACATGGCAAGAAAACGTCAAACACTACAAACAAGAATGAGAGACAAAACGAAGCAATAACAAAAACAACTCAAGCCAAGCGAAAAAAAAAGTAACAGTGGAAAAATATAAAATTTGACCTTGAAATTTCCACAATCCGAGAATGTGTGTAGGATGAAATGAGGAGGGAGAATAAAAAGGGAAGTAGAAGGGGAGAGTGAATAGAACAGAGAAGCATTTTTTTAATATTTTGTTTGAATTAAAGGTGTAAAAAAGAAATTCATTAAAAGGTTTTTCGCAGAATATAAAAAATAATTGTTTGAAAGTTTGCACCTAAATTAAATAAAGTTTTCAAAATTATGTTTCCTATTTCTGCTCCTTATCTAGTTGCTTCCTATAACAAAGTCATTTCAGTGAAAAAGACTTGGAAATTTAGATTGTTAGTTCATCTTCTCCAAAGTCAGTATTTAAAAGTAGTTAAAAGTACATTGAAACATTAAAATTCAATGCGATTACATAATACCTACTTATCTAATATTTATTTCTCTTCCTCTAGCTAGTATGACAGTAGATATTGATGTTTTAGTAGGCTCATAAATAAAGAAACGCGCTTTGCTGAAAGATATATTATGAAAAAATAAAAAGCCGTAACCTTCTAAAAATCTCCAATCTTGAGCTATCCATTTTTTTATGGTAACCCGCGGAAATTACGCGTTTCTCAAATACCTTTAACAATAATCGTTGGCATTGAACGGCGCGGCGCAAAGCGCTAAAGACTCAACAAGTGGTTTGTTGTTATGTTTTTTACTTTTCTCCTTCATTCAGCGAGCGCAGAAAAAAACTCAAATTTCTACAAAGCAGTCTCTTTTTTCATCTCAAGCACGTATGAAATAAAAGCCAAAATAGACACTAAGCAACACCAATGAAAATTTTAACAATACATTCATATTAATCAGGGATAAGAATCGGTATTGAAGCTCATATTCTTTACTCTGTGATTTCAAGCATTAAAATTAACTTATTTGTTATTCTTTTCTTGTGAAAATTGGTTAGTTGAGTTTTCATAACCATCTTTTGTTTATAAATAGTTAAAAATATTTTCGAACCCTTAAGTTAGACGCTTCTGATTTCTATCTCTGTAAAAGCTTTGAATAAAGCAAAATCTTTGTCTCTGAAAGTCATTGAAAGTTATTTTGTGGAATTAATCATTTCCGTGTTTAAAGAAATATTCATTAACTTCTTTCATTGGCAAAACAAGGAATGTGCGCCCCATTAACACAGTAAGTTAGCTAGCAGCACAGACACTTTTTTCTTTGAAAAAACATCATAAAACTATTTCCTTGTTGGTTTGAGTGTTAGCAAAATGAATTGTAAAGGAGAGTTTTTTAAGCAAAGATTGGTAGAGTGAAATCATGAAGCAGGAATGCTATTCGAAAATATCAAGATCAAATTATAGCATAAGAGACTTCAACTTATTGTTCAGAGAATTTTTTTGTAATATCTGTTGAAGTAAAGACCACGAGTTTGAAATTACTTTGGTTATGGAACCATAAATTAATTTTTTTTATAAAGAATTGGTTGAAATTCATCACAAAAATGACTTCACGGTCACTACTTGAAACTATAGGAAATAACTTATTTTTCCTCATTCTCCGAGAGATGACAACTAAACTCTCAGCTTGAAAAGCTACTTTCGTCACCACGCATGTTGAAAATAATCAAATGACTTGGAAAGATTTTGACATAGTTGCTCGTGCGACACGTTATCAGTTAAGGGAAACGCAAAGCAATATTTTCGTCTAATAAAATCTATTAATGACCCACATTTTATTTCCCATATACTCTTCTCTCAGTTATTAGGAATGTTTAAATATTTGTCATCCATGTTCTATATTCACTACAACCTATTGCGAAGGTAAAAGAAATCATTATTGAAAATTCAATCTTCTCTTTTTATTATCAACTCTCTAGTCAATTTCCTTGAAATACGTATTTAGCCAACAAATATTAGAAATAAGAAGCGAAAAAGCATCTCTGCGTGGCAGTTGAAGAAAAAGAAAACCAACTACTTCAACATGATGAATAACTTATATGTACAAGAAATTAAGACTTGTAAGTTTTGAAGGACATTTGAAATTATTTCTTTGCTGTTGTTGCTTGAGAGTTGTTTCAAAGAGAACAAAGAATAATTATATGTATTTGAAGCTTAAATTAAGCTTATGTTATGTAGGATTTTTTTTCCTTCTATTTGGAAATGTACAGTAAAACGAATCGAAAACTGTAACCGTGAACCTCCATCTTTAAGAGGTGTGTGGCAAACAAAGCTTCAATGAGGAAGTTTTATACATAACAATCTGTGGCAGGTTTAAGATCTCTCACAAAGCACTCTCAAAAGTCTTCATTTCCGCAAACCACCAAGCAAGTTTCTTATTTTTATTTTATTTATCTACTAATTATGATTAATTCCTCAAAGATTTTAGAATTTATTTAATTTCTATTTGTCATTTAGAAAGCATTTGAATATATTTTATAATAACGATGTCGACATTCTGGTGACGCTTGTTTTATTTACAATCTGAAAACTGAATTCAAGGTCGTATTACATTAATAATCATTATCTGAAATTGAATGAAAGAGTAGACGAAAGTGAAAAATATCTTTTACTTATATATAAAATTATTTTTTAAATAGAATACACAATTATTATATTAAATCTTAAGTAATTAAATAATAACTCATGGATATATCCTTGTTGTCTAAAGACATTAGAAATATTTTTAAGTCAGATAGAGGCGTATGATATTTTCTTTCTCCTTAAGTAGTTTTTCCGTGTTTTAATTAGCAATATAAAAATGAATTTTAATAAATTTCGTATTTGTGAATTTCCAAACAACAAATTAAATCTCTTTTATGAACTGAATCTAAACTGAAAGCAAAATTTAATTTAACTTTTTTTGTCTTCTCCTTTTCAATTCACAGATAGAATGCTGATGCTGCAGTACAGTAAACACGGCGAGTGTATACTCCAAGAAATTGGTGCAGCATTTCGAGGCGAACATCAAGCTGATTTAGAAATAATTTGCGATGGCAGCAAAAATGCATTACGTGCACATAAATTAGTATTAGCTGCGGCAAGTCCACTTATAAGGTAAGGCAACCCATATTGTTACCCACTATATTACGCTAAACTTTATTTCTCTTCTATCAATTTACACAGAAACATATTGGAAGATACACCATGCCACCTCAATGATGGACTTACGACAATACATTTCCCAGACATTCACATAAGCTTTTTTCGGTTGCTGCTAGACTTTCTCTATTCGGGACAAACATACGTACCAGTTCATGAGTTAGAGCAGTTACAAGATCTCCTAGCATTATTACAAATAAAACCAAATATATGGCGCAGTGGTGATAGTAAAAAAGATATTGTCAATAGTAAGTCAAGCATAAAGTTGTTTTTTTTTTATTATTATTTTGTTGCTGTCCCTGGTCAAACAAATTGAGAGAGTCAGATGGGCAGCACTTTTCAAAAAAAAATGAATGACAAAAAACAACTCTTTTGGTTATAGAGAATTTCAGAAAATTATAATCCAAATTCATGATAGCCTGAGAGCAGCCAACCTTTCAAAATATAATAGTCACCATTATTAAATCCAAAACATTCCCGCCAACTTACCGAAAAGATCTCTCTTGCAAATCTCGTCTTATGTATTTATTTTTCGACCAATGTCATCAACAATGAGATAATTAACAAAAATTTTACCCTCTTTTGTCTTCATAGATTCCCAAAAATTAGATAGCTGTAATGAAGGTGGTTTAAACTTAATTAGCAAAAATAACAACAACAATAGCAGTAACAATCGAAATCGTACAACTAGTAGTAATTATGCGATTAACAATAATGAGCTACCATCCGATGACATTGATCCGCCAGCAATAAAGAGTGAAAGAATCGTTCGTTCTTCGTCGAGATCGCATGGCGATGCGGAACATGAGAAACTTGATGAGCAGGAAAAGACGGATGATTCACAAGAGTCAGCTTCGGAAAATGAAGGTGACAACAACAACAATGAAGATGATGAGCGTGAGGAAGGTGAGATATATGAAGATGATCCGTCGAAGAGCAACGAGGTAATTGAGAAATCCAAACACTACAAGAAAAAGAAACGGCGAAGACGAAAACGTGAAATGACATTGAAAAGTGATCAAAGCCAGCAGATTGAGGATGATGAAGATGATGAAATGACGACGATAAACGATGATCCATTAGGTAATTAATTTATTTAAAAAGCCATAAAATTGTTTCTCATAAACATGTTGTAACTTACATTTTAATCGTAATATTCTATTTAAAACAGTTTCTGCTAGCCAACGCAGGCATTCATCGTCCTCTGATCCAGTTAACTTATCTATCACTCATAAGCAACATCAGCCAGACGATTCAGACGATGCAAATATTGATGTAGAAACGATAAGCAATGCACCGACAAAAGTAAGACGTTTTCCAAAATCATGTTTCTGCTTACATAAATCTAAATACTTGTTTTAACAAAAATAATTTGCATTGAGAAATCACAATATCTATACAAGTTAAAAGTTATTTAAGAATAAATAATTGTTTATATAGTAATTTAGATATGTGTAGGAACATGTCATTTGATAAATTTGAAAAACTTTCACACTCTTCTTTACAGTCTCTTATGCCCACACGCTACTTAGACCCATATCGCTTAAAGCGCAAAGCTTTATATAACAATCCCTCTGAGCACGAGAATTTACTACTCAAAGCGTTACCTGAACATGACCTGCTTCAAAACTCATCAGTCGAAAATTATGTTGTTACGCCTCATCGTAAAAGACGGCCGGGTTTTCATAACTCACCTGCACAAAATCCACCATTTGTGCCAAGCTATTTAGAAGATTTGAGACAACCACATAAAAATTTTCTGACACAATCGTTATCTGCACCTCCTGCTTATTTGAGTGGAGGTAAATCTACTTAGATCATTTCAAATAAATAACACAATTTAATCTCTTTTCAATTCCGATTTAGATTTTGATTATATGGATCGACGCGAAATATCATCACCACAACCGTCCTCGCAACAGCGTACATGTTATCCCACCGATTTTCCAAACCACAAAAATAATAATAACAGCTTAAACGACAATCGACGGCGTCACTTAGGTGATGATTCTGCTGGCCAATCAAGCCCACATTTGCCACCTCCGCCTTCTTTCTATCCGTGGCCTCATGGACCATCAGCTGCAAATTTGGCTGCGGCTGCGGCGTTAGCTGCTGCGCTTCCCGGTGGACAACACGATTTGCTAGGCCTTACTCAATCCGCCCTTCAACAGCAGCAACAAGAAAATGAACACTCCCACCACCATTCACGGAGCAACAATCCAAATTCAAGCTCTTCAGGCAATTCCAATTCGAACAATCCCGTAAGAGAATATCGATGCCAATATTGCGGTAAGCAATTTGGTATGTCGTGGAACCTCAAAACACATCTAAGAGTTCACACAGGTGAAAAGCCTTTTGCTTGCCGTCTTTGCGTAGCAATGTTTAAGCAAAAAGCTCACCTGCTTAAACATTTATGTTCTGTTCATCGCAACATTATCAATTCACCTGAATCAGGTGGGCGTTATAAGTGCTGCTTTTGTACATTGTACTTTGATACACTCCAAGAACTTGTGAGACATCTTTCAGGACACCACAATAACCTACTGTTGAGCAAAAATCTCCATGAATGACAAAAAATTCATGGAGACTTGCCCAATTATGAAATATAGTTAAACAAGAAATTTCGATGCCCAATAAGAAACCAAAATTTACTTAATTTGAACCCAAGTGATATCAATCTTCATTTAAAATTCAAAATATAAACGGGATGATGCAACGATTGATAAAAAAGAAATTTATAGATAACTTCATTATTCTTTTGTTGTTATTAAAATATTTGGAAATTTATTTAGCTTGTAAGAAATTTTAAGATTTTTGATTTTATTGTCGCTCCATTTCATGCAAATCATGTATGAAAGTAATAAACATGAAATTTGAGTTTTTCGTTCTATTTTTGCTCACTTATAATTTTATTAAAAAAAAAATTAATACAAAATCAGTGATAGTTGTATTATCTTTTTATTTGATTATTTTAAAAAATACAAAACGCATTTCAATCAATGCTTATATTTTATTTTTCGTATTTTCGATTCGATATGAGTGAGTGGCAATAATTTTTAACACAAAAAATAAGACCAAAATCAAGAGATTTAAAAAGCTTTTAAGTTTGTTTAAAAACTCTTAAATCTAAAAATTCCATACCAACATTGACGAAAGAAATAATTAATGAAAAAAAGTATCACTTTGTACCACATACACCCGAACTATAAAACTCTAAGCACAGAATTTTTTTAAGACATTTAAAGTTGTAATAAAAATTGTCTTACTTTTCGGTTCAATTTCAGACGAAGCATATAAAAATATGTTAGAAGTCTGAGATTAATAACAAAAGCAACTTAATTAATAAACATTGCAAAAATTAGAAATCTTAGTATTTTTGCTCTGAAATCAAACGAATGGTTTGTTTAAAATTGTTCCATAAAAAAGACAATTTTTATACTCTTCACTATTGAAATTGAATTTTCAATAATAAATTTTTTGAAATACGTCTCGCGATGCATTTATCTAATTCTAAATTAAAATATTTTTCATCTTTGAACCGAACTTTTTGGTGATTTTTCTACATCAGTTGAGAGCGGGTCTCACCGAAATCTAAGATTTCAAACTAATAATATAAAGAAACAATAAAAATTATCGTAATAAGACACCAAAAAAAAAAACATAAAAAACATTGATACTAATGTTAAAGCACAATAAAAGACAATCATTTAATGTTTGTTCCGTTTTTTAATGTTTAATTTAATGAAAATATCTACTCTGTTTGAATATCTAAGGTTTTGGATTTTCTTTTTATATTTATTTCAATCCATTTCATTTTTTCTGCATATTTTTAAGCATACACCTAATTCTTTTTAATATTGATTGAGAATATAATGAATCAAAATTTCAGGAAAATGTGAATATTTTAGTTTCTTTAATATCTACATTGATTTTTTATTACATTTAACTGAACTTTCCAAACATATTTATCTTTTTGAATAAGAATGGAACAGAAAAATTTCCAACTCTACTTAATTATATTTAAAATCTTAACTATCAAGGTCATCATAGAAAATGTATAGATTTTTTAAGAAATGCAAACCATATTCACACAAACAACAAACATTCACTTTACTAGGCAGTTGAAAAGTACAAAAAAAATGTTAAAGTATGAAAAGAAATTAATTTATTGAAACAACCACTTCTAACAATCAATAATCTTCATTTCTTGTTTTCCTCCCCTTCATTTTAAAGGGATAAAAAACCATATAACACAGTATCTACATAATTGACATGAAACTAAATTCAAGACAAAGTTTCAAATGCAGTGCACAGCTACCTATTATTTAACAGATAAAATCAAATGTATAAAGAAACTAAAAAAAAAACAAAAACAAAAAGGAAGCATAGAATTTAGAATCGTAGAATTTGTAAAATAATGTTTAAGATCGTTCATGGACTGCGTATTGTCTTTCTTGAGAGATTCCAAAAGTTAGGCATTATGTAGGACGTGGAAGATATATTTAATATATTCTCGGAAATTTTGTACATTCTAACATATTTTAATTTTAATAAAGTAAAATTTTTGATAAACTGATACTGTTTTCTATTAGTAAACGCTCAAAAGTCCAATATGAGTTAGGATCATGTAGATATTTTTGAACTCTTTGTTTTTAAAATCTATTAATTTCTGTAGACTGCGTATAAACCTAGATGAAACTTAATAAGAGACATTCAAAATCAAACACCAAATGACAATTATTTTCTCTAATAGAAAGTTAGTACCCTAAAATTTCGAATATTTAACAATATTTGTAACGATGTTATAAGTTTTAAGTTAAGTCTCTTTAAAATGGAATCCCAAAAGAAGGTAAGGTGTCTTCGCTATCTTCGTTAACTTTCAGGAAAAGAAAAAACACAAATAATATTTGAGAAGTGTTTATTTGTAAAAAAGTTACTATTAAAGAATTATGAATTGTAATCTCTCACGTTTAAATTGAAGATAAAGTGGTTAAATTTGTGAATTGCGTATTACTTTCCTAATACACATAATCTTAAAGATTTTAATTTATATATAAATTTTCAGAAAAGGTTAGCCATATTTTTTCGTTGCGAAATCACATAATAGGTTCAAAATAACACAGAATGTTTGCAAATTTATAGTTATATATTCTGTTTAAAATGCCCTACACAACATCCATAGGAACATGTTGGGAATTATATTCAAACCTTTTTCTTTTCAAAAAGAAAATTTGTTAGGAATCTGAATACTTCCATATTGACTACGTAAAAAGCATTTTTGCATTTTCATGATTCTCTATATATGCTTAAAATAATCAAGTTCATTTAAATATGTTAAAAGCGCAAATCAGAATTACTAAGTTTTGGTTCTTTTTGTTCCCCACAGTCGAGTGAGTATTGGAAATTTAAGAAAAAATGATTCATCACCATCATACAATGCATCGAATCCATCCATCTCAGATCAACGTATCACAACCCCCGCCACAGCCAAACATGCCCAATCAACCAAATCAACAAAGGTAAGTTCATTATTTTGCTTTGAAAAGTTTTGCTTCTTGGTTGCATCATAATGTTTTATTAAATTTTGAAAACCTAAATTATATCTATAAAAAATCTACGCTATCTAATTATGCGCAAAATCATATGAGCGATCCAAACATTAAAAAGTAGGTAGTTGAGGATGAAAGAAAAATATCTTTTTAGCATGAATGAAACCTGTTGAATGAAGTATCAGTCTTACTTTAAGATTCTTAACAAACTAATTGGATCACTTTCAATTAATTGTCAGTATCGAATAATGTATTTAAACCTCTTAAGTTTTCATCATCATTAATGAGAACTTTGAAATTCTTTTTGCTGTAAAACTTGCATAAATCATTAAATAAAAAAAACTGGATTGAACAATAAGTTTTTAAACCAGTAAATACCACCAAGCCAAAGCGAAAGTGAAAAACGCTAGGCTTGAATATAAAAATAATCTTATATATGATGCTATATATTATAACTAAGGGGCTCATTTTAACGTTTTGCGAAAGGAAGTTAAAGAATTAGTATTTAAAAAAAAGACCTTATTCTCCCAATCGCATTTTGCTTTTTTTCTTCTCTTTATGAAACGGCAATGTCTTTGAAATGCAACAATGAAATCAAAAGAAAGATCGCAAAGATTTATACAAAAACCGTCTCCGTAGAAAGCAAAATAATTGAATAAGGGGGTTCATAATATTTTCTTCCAAGAAGACGTAAATAGGTATTATAAAACACTTGAATGTGCCTCTGTTTAATGTAACGTCTGTCTGTTGATATTATAATAGCATTTTTGCTTACTATGTATATAAATAAGTGTACGTGTGTTAATCAAATAAGGGTTGAATTCATTATTTTCCATAATTTAGATGAAATGAAAGAGAAGAATATAGTTGTTAATAATACTAACTTTTGTATTATAATTGAGCTCCTTAATTAATTAGATGCCAGCACTTTAAACGACGTTTTTACTTTTTTCGGTGATAGAATGCATGTAACAAAATAATTTATAAAGAGACAAATTTATTTTCTCATCAAAAATTGCAATATAAAAAAAAGAGAAACATCAGAACATTGTATCTTTGATTCCAATTCTAGTATCTTTCAACACCATTTGCATGTTGAATTCTTACGAGCAGAAACAGTTTTGTTCTTCCTTTCAATACGTTCAACTTTAAAAATCACAACAGTGTTATTTATACGGAGAATACAAGTAAATGGGGTGAATCTGAATAATAATATGAAATAAAAGTAAGAACTTAGAAGAACTTCATTTGTGTTTGGAACAACATTGAATCAATATTTTATTTCTTCTCAACTAGTTATGTGTGAAAGTTGGATTGCAATTTGTTAAGATATTAAACTGCGTGGGGAAATGAAATTTTAACTCATAAACCAATCTGAATAAATTTAATTTAAAAATAATAATTAAATTGTCATAAAATGATATAATTTTATCAAAATGGTCAACGTAAAAAATATAAAATTTCTTACAATCACAGAATGAATCATCATCACTATCAGCAAAGAATAAATCAGCAGATTCAACAACAACTTCCATCTCAAATTCATGGTAATCGTTCAAATGTGAATGGATTAAACAATCATCAACATCAAGTTCCACCTCCAATTATTCCAAAGCAACATTTACATCAAAACATTGCGACATTGAATCAAAAACCTCCACATCATGTTTCAAACCATACGACACCGAATTCCCAAATTCAGCCATTACAACGTTTATCTTATGAAAGTGAGTTCATTTTGGATTTTTATTTGATTTTTCTTTTTTCTAAGTTTCCGTTCGGATTTATTTTATCAGAGTCAGCAACAGCAGCAGTTCAGACATCAAACAATTTGAAACGCGAGAGTAATACAACAATAAGTGTTCCAGCAACCGTAACACTTTCATCAAATAATTCTTCAATTGTAACTGTTCAACCACAAACAACATTAGTGGCACATTCTATTCCAGTAGCTTCCTCCCACCTTCACCACAATGCAAATTTAACAACATTGTCAAAGCCACATCCAAGTGTGTCATCATCTGAAACAAAAGTTGAATTGAAAACACCAATTGTCAGCGCCAACCAAGAAACAGCAAACTCATTAGCATCAAATGCTGCTGTTGGTATTTCTCAATCAATTGCTTTGAATGATTCGTCTTCAGGTGGTGAAAATACTGAACAAGGACTTGAATCGATTGCTAATACTAAGGAAAAAACTCCAATGTGCTTAGTGAATGAATTGGCCCGTTTCAATAAAATTCAACATCAATATCGTTTGATAAGCGAACAAGGACCGGCACATAAAAAGCGTTTTACAGTAATTTTAAAGCTCGGTGATGAGGAATACGCAGCAGAGGGTTTGAGTATAAAAAAAGCTCAGCATAGTGCTGCAAAAGATGCAATTCTAAAGACCGTTTATAAACATCCGCCGTTGAAAACGAATCGTCAACTTAAAGGTGTTCAAGTATGTAATAAAAGTCATTCAGGAAACATTACACCAACTGTAGAACTAAATGCTCTTGCTATGAAGCGTGGAGAACCAACAGTTTACACTGTCTACACGTCAAATCCTGCATTACATGGAATTCCTCAAATACAAGCTCCTGGAGGGCAGCAATTTACAAATCCACCGCCACTTTTTGTTCCTCGTGGTAGTAATCTTTACCAACCAAGACGCGGCTTTTCAAATCAACGGAATAGTGGATCTTTTTCGACAAATTCAAGAGCTAGTGGACATTTCAATAGTACGGAGACATTTTATGTTGTTCTTCAAGTTGGAAGCCGTACATTCTCTGGTATGGGTCCAACACAACAAGCAGCAAGGCATGATGCTGCAGCTAGGTGAATATCAGAAAAAATATTAAATTCAATTATTTCTTTCGAATAATGAAAACTTTAAATCAATTTCAGAGCTTTAGAAGTATTGAAGCCATTGACAATTGAAACCGAGAATTTACCAAATAAAATTACCACCGGCTGTTCATCAGAAAACGATTCAGAGACTGGCCAAGATACATTGATTAATTTGGATATTAAATCACCGATTTCAATTGTCCATGAGATGGCTTTGAAACGAAAACTTTCAGTATCTTTTGAAGTTCAAAATGAAAAGGGTCCACCACACATGAAAGTCTATACAACTTTATGTAAAGTTGGCTCGATTGTGGTAAGAGTTGAGTGTGATTAATTTTAAGTGAAAGAAAACTAAATTTAATTTTCTTCAGACTGAGGGAGAAGGAAATGGAAAGAAATTGTCAAAGAAAAAGGCTGCTGAAAAAATGGTGGAAGAATTAAAGAAGCTTCCTCCACTTTCACCAATTGAAGAACCAACAAACAACAGACTTAATACAAAAATTCGACGCAAACAGCAACAACAGCAGCAACTGCAACAGGCTCCAGTAAGTCTTCTTGAATTTCAGATTTCAGATTTTAGTTCTTAATTTTTATTTACTTTTACTATAGATGATTAAAAAAAAGAGTAGAAATTTAATAAAAGAGAAGTTAGAAACAAGCGGTGGAACTTCCGACGAAATTAATCCAATATCACAATTGATTCAAATACAACAAGCTAGAAAAGAAAAAGAACCTGTTTACACTGTCATTGATGAAAGAGGAACTGCACGTCGTCGTGAGTTTGTTATTGAAGTGCTGGCTGGAGGTATGACAGCATCGGGTACAGGACCCAATAAAAAGTTAGCAAAGAAGATTGCAGCTGAAAGTAAGAAAAGAAAGTTGAAATAATGTTAAATTTTATTTAAAAAAAAATTTTTTCCTTAGATTTGTTGATTTTGATGGGCATTGGAAAAGTGACAGCAAGTGGAGAGAATTCATCAAAAGAAAAACCAAGAGATGAAGTTGTGGAAAAAGGAAAGAAAGTACAATTCATTGAACCCGACTTACCTAAGAAGACTGCAAAAACTATTACGCCTACGCCAACAAACAGTAATGGACGGCAAATTGTTCCTGGCATATTGTTAGTTACAGCATCAACTTCTGATAACTTCTCTACCCCAACAAAATCGTCGACATCAGGGAAAACTTCTTCATCTTCAGAAGTTGTCCTTGAAAAGTCTTCAACTAGTCCGAGTTCAACGACCTCAAACCATGATAGTGGGATTGGGGAAAGCGGTGTTAGTCCTCGAGATCAATTAAATTATCTTGCCCAATTGATTGGATTCACTGTTAGTTATAGCGACTTTCCCAAAGGTAATCATACAGAGTTCTTATCACTTGTAACATTGTCAACAGATCCGCCTCATATGAGCCATGGATCGGGCTCAAGTGTTGATGAATCAAGAGACCATGCAGCATTGAAGGCGTTAAGCGTTCTAAGCGAACTTGGATTAGATAATGTTAAGCCCAAAGCGAAATAGTATCAATAACCTTGATAAACTACTTTATATCTAATATAATCTAAAGTGAAAAGTGTCGTCAGCATAACAAAATGAAAATCTTTTCTTCTACTAAAATATCTACTAAATAAATAAATATCTGAAAGTAAATGGAATGGAAAAAAATAGTGAATGAAAACATGAGAAAAACATGATGTGCAAATATTTACATTTTCTTAATAATTTTAATGAATGAAAATCGGTTGTAGAATAATTAAAAATTTCTTAAGTTTTTGATGAAATTTTTTGGTTTTTGTTTTGTTTTGCGGTATTACTAATGTTAAGTTTTCTTCTTTTGATTATTTAGATCAATGATTGCGAATAATATTTTCAAAAAAATTGTTTCATAATTAATTCTTTTTTTCGCACTATATCACATTATCATTTCTTTAAGTATCTGTTCTATTCTTCAGATATCATCACATGATAGTGTAGATTTGTATTTAAAGATAAGCTCATAAGAAGGTAAAGTTTATAATTGATTGCGAAACTGTTAAGTTATGATAAAAATTGATCATCGAACCAAATTAAGCTACTAAATCCTGGTAATTATTTCATTTCAAAAATAGTTATGTTGTGTACATCATCTGTTCGTAACAAAACAAAAACAAATTTTCTTTTTTGCACTGAATTAATTTAAAGAGCTGATCTTTGAAGAACTGTATCTGAAGCATAAATATAATAAGTAATGTCATTTTTAAGTGTCGCTTTTTATGGACAGGAAATAACGGAGGAAAATTATATTCCTTAAAAACAAAGAAAAATTGTTCGGACTATTTGTGTAATTTGATGTGATGATTATAATTTATTTAAAAACAAAAATTTTTCTCTATGCTGGATGATTAAGTAAACACATATTTATTATGTGAATAGTCCAATCCCTCTAAACAACATCAAGAACATATAGAAATAAGTATTAATTTAAAGTTGTTTGTGAAATATTTAGATTGTATAGAGATGTCTTCTTTTTTTCCTCACCTCAAACCTAAATACTTTACAGATAAACTTCTATATATTCATATATATTCATGTTTTTGTAGAGTTTAAGAGTTCAGTTCTGTTGAGGTGAGGTTGATTTTTCAAAAAAAATTTAAGTCTTTTTTTTCTTAAACATCTCGAACATATTTATTTACAAACATAAATCTCGCTTTTTTCCTTTTCTTTTTTGATATTTAAGAAAAAAAAGAACATGAATTTCTACATATTATGATACACATGTTAAATTTGTTCAAGTTTATTTAAATGATTTAGTTTTAAATTTTTTTTCTCAAAAGGAGACAACAAAAGGATAAATCGGTGGATTGCTTATTCAGAAAAGTGTTTCATTCTTATTAATTTTTGGAACTTAATGGAAACCAATCACTAAAGTGATTGAGAAAAACAAAAAAACGGTTGCAAATTTTGTCTTTCGGATTGAAAATTAAAAAGAAAAAAGTAGTTTATTAAGACTTTTATGGATAAGATATCAAAAATGAATCTTCTTTTGAGAATAAAAATAAAAATATTTAAAGCACGACTTGCTAATCCACAATTGTGGTATTCTTTGTGGAAGCAAAAACCGCATACAATGTTTATGTGAAAAAAGAACTAACATTTATGGTCATCCGTTTAAATATAACCGATAATTTATTTCAAACTTTAAAGGAGCTATGAAGGAAAAATAAAAATAAGAGAAAATGTTACAATAAACTTGTTGCAAAATTATTTCCATTTTGGTTTCTAAGTAATTTTGTTTTATTAAGTGTATTCAAACATATATTGTTGGGTTATTCTAAATGATATAGATATATTTAGGTAAATAAATATTTATATAAATTTATCTACAATGTAGTGAAATTATGGAAAAACGTTTTCTTTGAAAAATCGTAATGGTATTGAAACAATGTTCATCATACTTTGTGCAAAATACATCATCGATTCAGGATACTGATGAGTTAACAAAGCTAATAATGCTGTACACGAACATAAACCAGCAGTGAATAATATGAAAAAGGGAAGTTCTTTCTTCGGATAGACAGAGAGCTCATGAAATGTTGGAAGTAACTCACGATCTGCACATTCAGTACAGACAGGATACGGGAAAAATAAATGACCTTTCTGAGTTGGAAACGGAATAACTTTAAATGTTCCTTCCCAGGTGTTAAGAAGCAGATTCAAAGCTCCATTAACATTTTTCCAATGACGAAGATGGAAGAAAGCGTACTGAAAATATTTGCGATATATTAAAACACAAACTAAAATTTTAAACCTTAGTTTAAATGTTAAATAAAACTTACAGCAAGTGCTTCACTATCGCCACGCTTCAAAATATGTTCAGCTGGGAATATAAGTTTTTTCATTTCGAGTAAATACTTCGGCACATGTGGATTGAACTCAACTGCACGATGTATCGCTTCAACCGCTAAAAGCTCAGCTGAAGTTAATCCTCTTCTGCTTGCAATTTCTGGTGAGAACTTTTCACTTACAGCTCGAGCTTTTAATAATGCCGAAGTGTAACAGATGGCTGCTGACTTAGGAAGAGAAATGTCGTCATATTTTGCTAGAACTGCTGCGCAATCTGCATAAGATTTCATTTCTAAAAGTGTTTCTAATAAGTTTTCATGGATGTTTAGTACGCTAATGATGCTCGATGGAGTTTCTTTTGTAAGATCACGAAATATTTTCGCAGCCTCTTTTAACTTTCCCAATTTTCTTGCACACATTGCAAGTCTTCTTTTGATATAAATGACAACATTGGCATCACGGCGATGTGCTGACTCATACAGCGGACCTTGAAAACCTTGAGATTTCTTGTAATTGATTTCAGCTACACGCAGCGCCTGTATGAGAATCGTTTCAACTTCCAATATTGTTGTTGCTTCTTCTTCTGCAAGTAAAATATATGCGCATGCATTTTCGGGATTACTTTCAATAGCTTTATGGGCTGTTTTAATTCTAACGACGGGGTTTCGTTCTCTCCAAGCAGTTTGCATCATCTCATAATCAGGCTTTCCGTTATCAAGCTCGCAGTTGAAAAATGTTTGATGATCTTGTGCACTGAGATTCATGTCATAATAAGTCAATGGTTCTTTAGAAGTCGCCCAAAAAAATCGCTGATATTCTGATCCTCGAAATAAATTGAAAGGATTCCTCCATACTTTGCCTTAAATAATAATAAATTTAATTTTCTAATTGGAAATCGACGAATTTGGAAAATTTTCATTACATTCGAACTGCGATTGATTTTCATTTGGTTGAGGACTTTCAGATAGGAACGGGCTGATGTGATTCAATGAGATTTGCTCTATTGTTAAACAATGAATACAAATGCTAATGACAGTTACTTGAATTGATTTATGCATTATTTCCTTCCTTACCAATAAAAGAAATTCCATACTGTTGATGCGCGTTTGGATTGGAAATACAGAAAAAAATTCTTGTGGATATTAATTATCTCATTATCATTCTTTTTATAATTTACTGAAATTATAATAAGTGAAAAGACGAACCTTTTTGAAATAGTACCATTCAAAAATCAGAATAAGACCTGAAATATTCGTAAAAAAAATATGAAATTAAAATAATTTTTATGTTCATTCACTTCATACGAACCAGATATCAATGAAGATGTTCCAGTTAGTGCCACATAGAACTTGGGCGTTAAGCTATTCAAAAAAACTGAATCAAAGATCATTCTGAAGTAATATATATAAGTATGTTTAAAGATGTTAAATGAATATTTAGATATCTAAATATATTGTGGATTTTATAAAGTTTAGAACTTAGTACAGTAGCTGTTCTTATTTTTGTTTTTGAAATTTTCGACTGTACTTTACTTTTAGTACATAAATTGCCTACTTTTGAAAGCGGTAGGTGAACAATTGTATCCGTTTATTAAAATATTTCCAAAGATACAAACATATTTATAATCAGAATATGAACACAGAGGTTTTAGTCGACGCATTGCCATATTTTGATGCTGGTTTTGACGATCCAGGAGTTAGAGAGACAGTAATGATTAAAAAAATAACAATAAAATTTGTGCTCTTTTATAACATCAAATATTTTAGGTGCTTGCTATGGTAGAAGAAGAATGTAAAAGATACAAACCAACAAAGAATTATCTTGAATATCTTCAACCCATAAATACATCAAGTTTCGAAACTGATTTAATGCGAAATGAATTTTCAAGAGTTGAAAGCGGCACAAGAATGGAAACAATGAGCACTAAACGTTATGAGCTACCGGCACCACCTGCAGGAAAATTAGGAGAACTTCAAGCATGGCAAGAAAGTGTCGACAACAGTTTGTCTCAATTAGAGCATCAATCAATTCGTTCATTAAATCTTGAATTAATGAATAAGTATGGAACTGAGACTTGGAAACAAGCTTTAGAGATTATGATTGGCATGGGCGCAAAAGCCCAAAAGGAATTACAAAATCTTAAAAAGGAAATTCAAGACATTAACTGGAAACGAAAAAGTATACAACTGCAAACTGGAGAAAAACTAAATAATCTTAATCAACAATGGGTCTCTCTTGTATCTTGCAATTATGAAATCGAGCAAGCTATATCAATGCTAGAACTTCAAATTCAACAAATAAAGCATAAGAAATGTATTCAAGATGAGACAATTTAATTGAAGTTGATGTAAAATCCTAAGACACTAAAATGGAATGTGCGCCGATTTTAATAAAATTAATTTTTTCTTAAAGGATACATTTTATCTTTTATTGAAAGGATTTTAGATACATAGGGGGTATACAAGTAATGCAAAGGTTCTTCCTTCATAACTCCCTAAGAAAACGCTTTTAAATAGAATGATCTCTTGAGACTTATACAGTTTTTTCTCCTTTATTGATTGATGTTTGCACATTTTTAATTAAGTAAGCCATGACGAGATATTCATGAAACATGCCGATCACGTACGTTGTCGCATATTTTAGTATTTTCACTCGAAAATTTGAACGTGTATTATTGCGAAACTACAATTTGGAATCTATTGCTGTTTCTTGAAATTGGCTCCAACTTTATTGAAGAATGAAAATTTTGTTTTGCTGAAGTTTATTCATCAAGCCATTGAAGAGTTATAATATTTTTAATGAGCATGTGATTATCACATACATTTACGCGATATATATGCGAAAGCCATTTATGACATGCGAATTTTCAGTAGATTCGTACCCTCACTACTTGTTCGTTTACGAAGCATCTAAGTTGTTTTATTCAAGTTGTAAATATTTTTAAAACAAAACAAGTAAAATAAATCAAGTTACTGGACTTTTAAATTTATTGACAAAATATTAAGAAACTTTGAATCTATTATGCATGGTGAAAAAAAGAATAATCTACGAAGCGAAAAGATTCAAGAAGTTGTAGAAGATAAATTTGAAGACATAAAATCGAATCAAAAATCACTCATTGATTCTACTTCTTGTAATAAACCCGAAGCAAAGGTGAGCAAATAATGTTTATTTTTTACCATTAATAATAATAATGTAGTCATTGTGGTTGTTTTCAATTCATTTTCTTAAAATTTTGTTTGAACTTTGTATAATGAATTTGTGGGCGTCAACCTTTTCTTATTTTTTTTTCTTGTAAGGATATGATTCTGTTTAAAGCATAGAAGAAAACATTAGATATGTTAGCAACAACCATGACTCATAATTTTTATACAGAACATGTGTTCATTGTTTTTATCTAATTTAATATTTCGCTTGCTCTTTAGGATATCCTATTTTTTTTATTTTTATGTGGTTTTTTTATCTCTTTTAGTTTATCAGTATTTGATTGAAAATAAAAATAAGGCTTCATTAATTATCTGTTTTCTTTGGAAATGACAAGTCCTAACAAGGTAAAATATATGTATAGATATAAATTAATTAGATAATACTTTTCATTTAGCTTGAATTTTGGCATGTGATTAATTAGAGATTCAATAGATAGGTTTATTTATTCTTAATAAGCACAAAAAATTACCCATTGTTGAAAGGAGAAAAAAAACTTATTACATTGTTTTCTATTCAATTTAAGCTTTGGTTTCGAGGTGTGAGATCATCCAAATTCCGTCATGTATACGGCAGCAGTAAAAAAGAATGTTATACAGACATTAGCATTCATCGCAATGGACATGATGGAAACGTTTGTGCAGTCAATCCCATCTTCTTGGCAATCGAAGCCGATGCTGCTTTTATTGTGATTCTTTTAAATCACACTGGTCGTATTGACTTTCAACGCTGTAAAGTCATTGGTCATTGTGGTCAAATATTTGATCTCAAATGGAATCCTTTTGACGATTTTCAAATTGCTTCAGCATCTGAAGATTGCACAATAAAGTTGTGGAATATTCCCGAAGGTGGATTGACTTCAACTTTATCTGAGTTTTCCTCTGAGCTTCTCGGACATAGACGAAAAATAACTCAACTGGAATGGCATCCTTCAACAAAAAATGTTCTTTTCAGCGCAAGTTTTGATAATTTAGTGATTGTGTGGGATGTTTCATCATCACCATTGAATGGAAATATCCTTAAAATTATAGATTGTCATGACGATCAAATCTATAGTTTGGCTATTAATCGTGAAGGATCGCACATTGCTACAACGTCTAAGGATAGAATGTTACGCGTGATTGAACCAAGGACAGGTATCGTTGTAACGCAAGGAATTGCCCACAATGGGATGAAACAATCAAAAGTTGTATTTTTGCATGATGACAAATTATTAACAACTGGATTTTCAAAACGTTCTGATCGACAGTATGCCATTTGGAATCAACACGATTTAAAAAATCCTTTGGTGGCAGCTGAAATTGATTCTGCTAGTGGTATCTTAAATCCTTTCTACGATTATGAAACAAAAACTTTATATTTATGTGGAAAAGGGGAAGGATGCATTCGTTACTATGAGATTGTTGACGAACATCCTTTCATTTATTACTTGAATCAATTTGTTTCGGGACAACCACAGAAAGCTCTTGGTTGGATGCCAAAACGAGGATTGAATGTTAACATCTGTGAAATTTTTCGTTTCTATAAGCTTCATGCAAGTGGAAATGTTGTTGAACCAGTTTCATTCATTGTTCCACGTAAATCAACATTTTTCCAAACTGATTTATATCCTGACACGTTATCAACGAAACCCGCAATGAATATTGAGCAATGGTTTGTTCTTGGAATGAATGTCAAACCAATTTTGATGTCGATGAAAACTGACGATTGTTTGCTTGAAACTATAATGAAAAAATCTGAATCAATGTCCCAAAAACCCATTTCAATTGTTAAAAAAGATCAGAGTCAGATGCAAAATCGAAAGCCATTTGAAAGAATTGGTGTGTTAAAGCCATCATCTGACATAATCGACAATAACATTTCAAAGAAGTTTGCATTCTTGGCTCAAGAGACCGTTCCTGATTATCGTCCGACTCATGAAAAATTCATTAATAAAACTGAAAAGACAAACACCAATCAAAGCACAAAGATTCAGCAACTGCATTCCATTTTCACAAGAGATAGTATTAATGGGAATACTACAAAAAATAACATCTCGCTTGAAGATAATATTAGTCTGATTCATGCTGAAAATGAGGTAAATAGTTTTTTTACATTAATTCTAGTTTAAAATTATTAATGTTCGCATACATTTGTTTCTTTTCGCAGCTCAAGAAAATCATACAACAACAACAAGATGACATTAAAAACTTACGAAATCAATTAAAAACATCGGACAAAAGAATTCGTGAGTTGGAATTCGAAATAAAGCGATTGCGTTTGGAAAAGAATTAAATTTTTATTTATTTTTTCTTCATCTATGATGTGAAAATATTTATTTCGCTCAGAAAAATAGCTTTTAAAAAAATATTAAAATATCTAGCAACTTAGTGGTAAACTTATTGTTTTTCAGGTGTTAAAATTAGCTTTTAACTTTTTTTTACTTGTGATATGAAAAACTCAAACGCAGTGTTTTTGTCGCTAAATTTATTGCATAGATTTGTATGTAGTTAGCTTTAACTATACAGTACGCAAATTTTAACTGCGAAGAAAGAGAAGAAATTTGTAATATGTATTTTAGTTTACCATAAATGATAAGGATAATATAAAATTGGGTGATTTTTATGAAGCAATTATATTACGAATATTTTCAAAGAAGCTTGATTGTTTACAAATATCTAAATAAATTTACAACCAAATAAATATTCAGATTTTCTGAAAGCATTAAAAGTTTCAAACTACTACGGTTTAAAATCATCTACTTATAAAAATTTAATAACACGCTATTATTTACATCCTCCCAGAATAAATGTTTACATTATGGTATTATTCAACTATAATTAATAGTCGCTTTAGTTTTTAATTATGTATAAGCTACTCAATTATTGTAATCACCAACAAAAAAAATAAAGCTTCAAAACGTAAGTTCAATGAACAAATATTTTATGTAAGCTATTTTTATAATAATCGTGATGAAGAAACAAAAAAAAAACAAAACTTTCCTGCTATACGCATAAAACAATTTGGAGTGAATATAGTCTATTTAAGCTTTCTCGTGTTCGCCCTTATAGACAAAAGAAAAGAAAAATAAAAGCAGAGCTTAAAAAACTTTAACCAATATAAATTTTTTTTTAGCATATAATTTTTATGTTCCTTACACACTTACACATATTGATAGCAACATTATTTTCACATGGACAGGTTCATACTTCTTTTATATAAAAATGTGTATACTGAAAAAAACTTTTTCAGTTGTGCAATATAGTTTTAGAAGCTGCAATTAAGTTTTTATTACTGTTTCTACCTAGGTAGGTTTTATTATTGACTTATAATTTTTACTGTATTGCTCTAATTATTAACGGTAAATAAATATTTTTGAATGCTCACATTATACTACTTTATAACAGTCAGTCTGGCATATTAAGAAATGATAATTTTTCGAATTAAACTTCAGTAACCTTTGAAATTTGTGCAAGTGATATCAAAAATTAAAAAAATCTTAATTTGAGTGTTTTTGTTCCGGGCGTGGAACGCTTAAACTTAAACTTTTGCAGTGGACTGGTGAGTACTTGTCTTTGTTAATCAAAAAAACTTTTCACTTTCAGGATCGACGTTATAAACTTTATTCTTCGGTGTAATTGATAACAAAAAAAACCCTAAATAAATGTTTAGTTAATGTAACATATTTGTTTGTTGCATAATTTTTGTTTCTTACCGTCAAGGGTTTTTTATATGTTCAACAGCAGAAGAACCAAGTGTGAATGTAAGAAATGATTTGTGAGCTGTTGTAATATTTGAATGAGCATGTTTGTTTTGTGAAAGATTTAAGTCATTTTTACCTTTAGGTTTGTTGAGAGAATGCACAGAAATGAAATGATTGTGATTGACTTGTGTGTGATTAATTAATGTGCCTAAAACCATAAATTTTAATGAAATGACCGCTACATGTAGGTTTGACTTTTGCTCACCCTTGACGTTGAATGTAATTTTACAATAGATTTTGTGATGTTTGTGTGACAGAATTGTGAATTAAATGTGTGTATAAAATTAATTTAGTTATAATGTAAAGCTTGTCTTCAATTTAAATGTGAAAATTCTCACCCAAATGAGATCATGAAAGCTTCACTTTCAATGACCTTTGTGCTTTTTTGTAACAGTGTGAAATAGGTGAGAACTAAAATGAATTGACTTTTAAAATGTATTGTAACTTTGACATGTAATTTTAACTAATTTTACCTAATAAAAACTTTAAATTGACTTTAACTAAAATTTGTGTTTGAATTATAAAAATATTGTGATGCGTCTTCATGTAAACTTTTCTATAGAATGACTTTTCTTTTTTCAGAACAATGATTTTATATTATTTTTTAACCGCCAAAATATTCGAAGATCGTAAGATGCAAAAAGTGAAGAGTGCGCCATCTCATGTTCGGGCAGAACACACTCCCGCCTCGAATAAATAGGTCAGTAGTGCAAAAGAAATAGATCATTGATCAGATGTTATCAGTATATAATGTGAATGTGAGATAAAAATTTTGTTACATGAGAATCTGTGTGACATGACATTTGTGTTGCACATGAGACTTTGTGACATGACATTTGTGTTGCAAATGAATTTGGTGTGACATGACAATTGTGTTAACGGAGAGAATTTTTGCAACATGTAACAATTTTTTCTAAGTGTTAGTGTTTAATGAAATGACTGATAAGAAATCAGTTTGTATTTACGTGTGATGATAACGAGTCGCGTGTTTCTTCGATCGGTAAAGGAATTAAATAATTAACATGTCGATCGAACTTCTTTTGATTTGAGGTAAGTATTTCAACATTCCGGACGACATGATCTTTCCGATTCGGATACAGGCGAGTGATGCGAGCTGTTGATCACTTCATGGGAGGTAAGTTAGAATCTTTTAATAACACGAGTTGACCAACATAATAATTTTCAATTTCTTGGAATTTTTTAGGACGCTGCTGCAACTGATGGAGATAATCTTTGTGCCAGGATTGCCAGAATTGTTGCTGTAATTTCTGCAAGCCGCGATAGTGATTCAAAGCTGACTTTAGAGCATCAAGGTGAGTTTTTTCGGGTTTTGCTACGAGCGGTCTCCCGATGAGAAAGTGACCAGGTGTTATAACATTAAAATCATTTGGATCATCACTCAACGAGCGGGCGTGAGTTGAGCATTGCTTCAATACGTTTAAGCAATGTTAACAATTCATCGTAGGTACCAATCTTTTCAGTGAGATTGCGCTTGAGAAAGTGTTTGGCACTTTTAATTCCACTCTCATAAATTCCACCAGCATGAGGAGCACGTGGAGTTGTAAAATTCCATTTGATTTGATTTTCTTCACAAAACTTTTTCATTTTAGGATTCATCTGATGGATCGTGGACTTCAATTCAGTGTCGGCGCTTTGGAAGCAGGTGGCGTTATCAGAGAAGATCTCTTTCGAGCGGAGGGGAAGTTTGACATCATTTGTNNNTTTTTTTTCGCAATTTTCTTTACCGAATATATATCCTACAGAATACACATAAATTTCTTTATTTAGTCCGAGATTTTTCTTTACTTTGAACATTCTATCGGTGTTTTATTCTTTTGGTTATTACTTTTCTTTATCGATTTTGGCGTAACTTCATAATATTTAACTCTTATTTCGACTCTTAATTAAATTTCGTTTCTTTCTCTTTTTTTTTTTTTCATGTATGATTTCAATTTTATTTAATTCTTCTCAACTCTTGCTTCGTTTCATTTTTATACTTCATTTCATATCTCAATTCTATTTAATTCTTTTCTTCTCTTACTTTGTTTCATTTCAACTCTTATTTCATTTCATATCTTCTTAATTCATCTCATCTCATATCTCTTTCTTTTTTCTTTTCATTTTCTCTAATATTTTTTTCTTCTTCTTTTATCTTTCTTTTTCATTTCATATTTCATTTCGTTTCTTCTTATTTCATTTCATTTCTTTTTAATTTTTCTCATTTTCATCTTACTTCAATTTTATTCTATTCCATTATCTTTATCTTTATCTTTATCTTTTTCTTTTTCTTTTTCTTTTTCTTATTCTTTCTCTTTCTCTTTCTCTTTCTCTTTCTCTTTCTCTTTTTCTTTTTCTTTTTCTTTTGGCGCGATAACACAAAGAGCTGCCAATCTTATCTTTATTCTTCTCTTTTTGGCGCAATAACACTCAGGGCTGCCAATCTTTAACTATTCTTTTTAAATATTTTATTCGAAAATAAGCTCAACTAAAAAAAATATAACGCCAAAATCGATTCAAATTTACCACTCCACGGTTTCCAACCAAAACCTTACACCAACGTCCCCGAACATTTTCTTCTGCCCTAAATCGCGCCATCTTGGATAAATTATTTTTCCAAGAAAAATAATCTTCAACTCGCAATGTTATGAAATTCCTAATTTAATGGGCTAATTCTGCGATCACTGGCGGTTTAAAAACATTTTAGAAGTATCGCGAGTACTTCAATAAACTTTCTTGCCTGTTCACGATGCACACAGGCGACTAACACGACAAAATATTTTTCCCGCGAACAAAATGAAGCGTCGGTTTTTATTTCACTTATTTTTTCACTTTAACGCTTGAAATCCATAGTACTCACTCTTTAACCTCGACTTCTGTTACGTTTAAGATTCGCTGTTCTCAGCGCCATTTGTGGGAACCGATATTTCGTCCTAAATATCTGGAAGCACGTCTGCTTCCTTTCATTCTCTATCCAAACTGAAACTCCGACTCGAGAGACCCCTCGGAATATTTCCCCTCGTAATCCTATTCCCACACTAGGTAGGTTTTATTATTGACTTATAATTTTTACTGTATTGCTCTAATTATTAACGGTAAATAAATATTTTTGAATGCTCACATTATACTACTTTATAACAGTCAGTCTGGCATATTAAGAAATGATAATTTTTCGAATTAAACTTCAGTAACCTTTGAAATTTGTGCAAGTGATATCAAAAATTAAAAAAATCTTAATTTGAGTGTTTTTGTTCCGGGCGTGGAACGCTTAAACTTAAACTTTTGCAGTGGACTGGTGAGTACTTGTCGTTGTTAATCAAAAAAACTTTTCACTTTCAGGATCGACGTTATAAACTTTATTCTTCGGTGTAATTGATAACAAAAAAAACCCTAAATAAATGTTTAGTTAATGTAACATATTTGTTTGTTGCATAATTTTTGTTTCTTACCGTCAAGGGTTTTTTATATGTTCAACAGCAGAAGAACCAAGTGTGAATGTAAGAAATGATTTGTGAGCTGTTGTAATATTTGAATGAGCATGTTTGTTTTGTGAAAGATTTAAGTCATTTTTACCTTTAGGTTTGTTGAGAGAATGCACAGAAATGAAATGATTGTGATTGACTTGTGTGTGATTAATTAATGTGCCTAAAACCATAAATTTTAATGAAATGACCGCTACATGTAGGTTTGACTTTTGCTCACCCTTGACGTTGAATGTAATTTTACAATAGATTTTGTGATGTTTGTGTGACAGAATTGTGAATTAAATGTGTGTATAAAATTAATTTAGTTATAATGTAAAGCTTGTCTTCAATTTAAATGTGAAAATTCTCACCCAAATGAGATCATGAAAGCTTCACTTTCAATGACCTTTGTGCTTTTTTGTAACAGTGTGAAATAGGTGAGAACTAAAATGAATTGACTTTTAAAATGTATTGTAACTTTGACATGTAATTTTAACTAATTTTACCTAATAAAAACTTTAAATTGACTTTAACTAAAATTTGTGTTTGAATTATAAAAATATTGTGATGCGTCTTCATGTAAACTTTTCTATAGAATGACTTTTCTTTTTTCAGAACAATGATTTTATATTATTTTTTAACCGCCAAAATATTCGAAGATCGTAAGATGCAAAAAGTGAAGAGTGCGCCATCTCATGTTCGGGCAGAACACACTCCCGCCTCGAATAAATAGGTCAGTAGTGCAAAAGAAATAGATCATTGATCAGATGTTATCAGTATATAATGTGAATGTGAGATAAAAATTTTGTTACATGAGAATCTGTGTGACATGACATTTGTGTTGCACATGAGACTTTGTGACATGACATTTGTGTTGCAAATGAATTTGGTGTGACATGACAATTGTGTTAACGGAGAGAATTTTTGCAACATGTAACAATTTTTTCTAAGTGTTAGTGTTTAATGAAATGACTGATAAGAAATCAGTTTGTATTTACGTGTGATGATAACGAGTCGCGTGTTTCTTCGATCGGTAAAGGAATTAAATAATTAACATGTCGATCGAACTTCTTTTGATTTGAGGTAAGTATTTCAACATTCCGGACGACATGATCTTTCCGATTCGGATACAGGCGAGTGATGCGAGCTGTTGATCACTTCATGGGAGGTAAGTTAGAATCTTTTAATAACACGAGTTGACCAACATAATAATTTTCAATTTCTTGGAATTTTTTAGGACGCTGCTGCAACTGATGGAGATAATCTTTGTGCCAGGATTGCCAGAATTGTTGCTGTAATTTCTGCAAGCCGCGATAGTGATTCAAAGCTGACTTTAGAGCATCAAGGTGAGTTTTTTCGGGTTTTGCTACGAGCGGTCTCCCGATGAGAAAGTGACCAGGTGTTATAACATTAAAATCATTTGGATCATCACTCAACGAGCGGGCGTGAGTTGAGCATTGCTTCAATACGTTTAAGCAATGTTAACAATTCATCGTAGGTACCAATCTTTTCAGTGAGATTGCGCTTGAGAAAGTGTTTGGCACTTTTAATTCCACTCTCATAAATTCCACCAGCATGAGGAGCACGTGGAGTTGTAAAATTCCATTTGATTTGATTTTCTTCACAAAACTTTTTCATTTTAGGATTCATCTGATGGATCGTGGACTTCAATTCAGTGTCGGCGCTTTGGAAGCAGGTGGCGTTATCAGAGAAGATCTCTTTGCAAAGACCTCTGGTTGACGTGAAACGACAGAGAGCTTCCAGAAATTTTGTAGTCGTCAAGTCTGGCACCAACTCCAAATGTATTGCACCAGTGCACATACATTTAAACATAGCAACATACGACTTGGTGTGCGTTGCCCGGGGATTGGTGAAACTCGATCGGATCAAGAAGAATCCAGTGTAGTCGAGTGCGGTACACGTGAAAGGTGGCGACATATTAACTCGAGCGGACGGTAAGTTTGACATCATTTGTGGATTTGTTTCCCTTGGTTTGACTTTGAAACAAATCAAGCAATTTAATGTTACCTTTTTTATAGTGTCGCGAGCCCGAAGGATCCAGAATTTTTCTCGCACGAGTGACAACAACAATGAATTACCAGGATGGAGATGTTTCATGTGAAGGTCTCTGATAATCATCGCTGCAAAGTGACAGTGAGGAAGCAAGATTGGATGTTTTTGTTCAAAGGTGAGTTGAGTTGCTTCACTTATTCTTCCACCAACTCTTATTATGCCTTCGTGGAGAAAAGGTGATAGCGAACGAATGTGTGAAGTTTTGGGCAAAAACAATGTTTCATTTTCAACTTGTTTCTCCAATGCTTGCTTTTCAGTGTTGAAGAAAAATTGTTGGAGTGATTTAATGATGAATTTTTCTGAATTTTCTTTTTCTTCAGCAGTGAGTTTTGGAACTAAATTTTCTATTTTCTTTCCAGTGGGTGGGACAACAACGGACGAAAACAAATTGCGACATCGAAGTTTATGCACAAACCGTTGACAATATGCAATGGTGTTGACCAGTTGATGGTGATTGCTGAAACGATTTTCTATCAACATGATGAAATCATCTCGAACAGTGGCAACATGGACACGCTTCATCTCTTCAGTTACTTCTGGATCTTTTTCGTTGATTGTGAGTATAGATTGTGGCCACTGACTTTTGTTTAATTGTAGAAATGATGGACCATTCCACCACATCGTTGAATCTTCAAGTTCAGCTGGCATTAGACCACGTGAAATAATATCGGCTGGATTGTCGCTGCCTTTGATGAGTCGCCATGTACAGCCGTGTGTGAGTTCTTGAACTACTGCTACACGATTGCCAACAAATGTAGAAAGACGTGACGGATTAAGGCGGATCCAACACAGTGCAATTGTTGAGTCAGACCAATAATAAATCAAATATCAACAATCGACTACGTTAACAGATAACCGTATCTTCGCACTCCTGCTATATATGAATTGGTGAGTTATTTAATTATTTAATCTGATCTTTCAAAGCAGTATGAAAATGGTAAGTAACTAAAATATTCCTATTAAGATAGTTTCGAAACTTTACTTCTTATTAGTTGACCATGTTGATTAATCTTTGTTGGCTTTGATTATTCTTTCTTTCATCTTCACACTAGCACCTTGTAAGCGCGTAAGGTGAATATGACATGGAAAATCTTCAAAAAATGACGCAATCTATCATGAATTTTCGTGACGTAATGGACGTCCACGTCGTCGTTGTAAAAAGGTAAGGAAACTAGATTATAATAGTAATTTCATTGGTGGAAAGCCAATTTTGCAAAACTTAAATTTATTTATTTAGAGTAAACTCACGCCTCGAGAAAAAGCGCGCCATGAGAATGAATTTAGATGTTTTTTAAAATTGTATTTTTGAACGATTTCCTTAATGAATTTCTTTTTAATTTGTTTTATTAGTTTCATTAAGAGTGTGGGTTTCCAAAATGCTATTATATTTGCATGGGCTCGCTCTGTGAGCGTAGAAATTACATTTAAAAATGATCATTTTTTTCGCCATTTCAGCAATCTTTTTTCACTTTTGACTTTTTTGTTTTCGATTTTATTTCAATTTATTTTAATAAATTCTAAATGTTCCAAGCACATATATTAACTTTAACTCTTCTAGTTTGATTCTGTTTAGGCAGAATTTTTATTTTAATTCTAGAAAAGAGTTTACTTTTAAGTTGCTTTTTTCTTCTCACCTCACGGTGTTTCTCACGCCTGAGAACACCAAATATTTTTCGATTGAGCATAATTAAATATTGTTCGAAAATGTGAGTGTGTCGAAATTTATCGAGCTTTTACGCTCAAGGGAATTTCGCTAATCGCGCTTGCACTGTATGCTCTTTGAATCAAGAATAAAAAATAGAAGGACAAACTATGCTTATTTATACACGTGGATATTAAATATTGTGAAGAAACGTATAGGTATGAAATATGAAAGCATGAATCAAGAATAGTTTTGTCGGTGCTTATTTTTGATTTAGATCTGAGATAACATTATTTAGAGATATTCACCATTGAGAGATAATCGAGTTATCGTCGTTATAAGAGTCGAAATCGATTTCAGAAATTTCTAAAATGGAATCTCCTTCTGGTTCATAAGATTCAATTTCCATTTCGTGAACTGATTCGACTTCAGATATTGAGAGATCTTGAATCTTAAGTCTATTTTTTAAGTTTTGAGAAATGAACTTTCCACCATTTTTTATTTGAATGCCTAATTGAGAGTTGAAATAATTCTCCATAGAGAGCTACGATGCCATCTTCGAGCTTCTCCATATTAAACTTTGCTAAGTCAGCAAGCTAGAAAGTGATTTTTGTGAACCAATCTTCCGACCAAACTTCGATTTCTGGTTCAGATGTTTTTCCCATGTTATCTATCCAGACTTGTCTGAACTTTTTCTTGCTAAATTTCATTATTCAAAATGAAACCTAATTTTACGTAGAATCAGAAATTTTTTTTTAGAAAGTTCAAAAGCTTCATTGAAGTCTTCGAAGCTAATGAGGAGCTCCCCAACTTCTTATTTAATTATCTTCCTGAATTATTTCAACTTTTCAGTTAGGCAAACAAATATTGAAATTTCTAATTATTTCTCTTTCCTTAGGCATGACTCGTTGATCTACTGGCTTACTTGCAGTTTACGATGTCACTGCGATGACGAAAAACCGAATAAAAAACAAAATAATGATGTGATGACTAATGTTTGGCATTGAACTTTTTATAAGCAATATGTATGCGGTTCAACTGAAACATATTGTAAAACTGCAAAATCCTTATATTACTGTAGATAAGTTCCATATTGCACAAATATTAATTTTTACATATCGCTGATAATATAAAATACTTTTTGCAGAGTAGATACCTACTTTTTTCAATATATTGAAGTTTTTACTTGTAAATATTTTGATATTTTCAATGGTGCAGCACGTGAAAAATGAGAGCAGAAAAGTATGTTGGAAAGCGAGAGAGATTAAATAATCCTTCGAGAGGAAACTGGAAGAAATTTTCCAACCATAACGGAACAGAAAAAAATGATACATATTCTGCAGCAGCAAGTCAAACTGTCTGAATTTGCCCATTCTTGATACGGATAAAGGTCTTTTTTGCTTTTTTCGGGGCGTAGTCATATAGATTTGTAATTTCTCGTTGTAAATTCTTCTCTAGCTTATAGTGATCTATCGAAAAAAGAGATGCTGGTAATGAATCTTGAAAGTTTTAAATATTTCAATTGTTGTTTGTTGCAAAAATAATGGTTCAAAAAAGTAACAAAGTTTTCCAAAAGTTGAAAGTGTAATGAAAAAGTTTAAATTTCATTTATATTTTCATTAATTCTTGGATTTATTCGTTATTTAAACGTCAGTTTTTTGGCACATTGTTAATTTTTAAGACAACTTTAATTGTTTAAAGTTTAATTTATCGGGTTTAACTAACCCGTTTAGTCATTCTTGTTTTCTTTTCACATGAAAAATTAAAAAGAAAAAAATTTCATGTATGTACATAAGTTGTTTCAGTTTTTCCACCAAGTTCTTGATTTAATGTAATAAAATTCTTTAATAAATTATAGAGTTCATTAAAATTTAATTAGAATCGAATGAAACAGGAAAGAGAATAATTTTTATAATATGAATTTCCTTAAGTTGACAAAGGTGATACTGAGTGATAAAAGTGTTCATTGAAAACAGAAAACACACAAAAAGAAAAAAACTGTTTTCTTCTCAATAGAAAACCTCAAAGAAGGGAAGCAATATATCAAAAGAATAAAAAATATACATACCTACATATGTTTATGTAATTGTACTATTTGGAAAACTATGTCATGGAATAATGTGTCAAGTGAACTTTATCGCTTGGATTCAAATAATTTAAGAGAGAATACTGGGTAAGTTTCCCTTGACCTTCGATTTAAAAATCACTTTGTAACCAAATTTATCACGAACTTTTGTTTTCATTTTTTGTTCATGCTCATAATAAATGTTCTTACATAACATTGTAGGCTTCAGACAAGGCTTTCAGCCACACACTTACTTTCACCTGATGGATCACGGAATCTCTTAGCAAATTCAACAGGTAAATTAATTGCTACGGAAGTAAAATAATGAAACAAGCATTGCTTTGAGCTTTTAAAAACCTTTGCCAAACTTTGAACGAATCTCTTTGCAGATAATGGATTCACTTCAGAACGAACTTCTATTTTCAATCGGATACCACGCCCGAGAAGTTCCATGTTCTATTGTTTCTTCTCCTGCCATAGAAGTTTAAAAGAATATTTTGCAAGAAAAAAGGTAAAATTAATCTTATGCTTTAGTTGCGTCATGATCAAAGATCTAAACTTATTATTTTATATCTTTATGAAGATTGAAAGGGGCTTACGTTTGTATGAGAAGGTAATGCAATAAATTAATCAATACTTACTAAAAATAATATAAAATTATCTCCAATGATTCCAGCATCATCCAAACGCTGCTGTTAAAACATGGCAAAGCGCCTTACAGTCTTGTAGTAAACGAGAAGATAGATTTGTTCTTTTGAGTTACCTATATCAGGGTAAGAGATATGATAAACAAAACTAATTGTTTTCACTGAAATACTCATGTAAAATATTTTTTCAGCACATATGGATTGGGGAAAGTTTAGAGACGCATTACATTATGGGCATAATCAATTAGGAATATCAGAAGAGCTTGACAATCCACAAATGCGATCAGAAACTTATTTAAATTTAGCGAGAGCTCATGAAAGACTTGGTAAAGTAGTTCTGTTTAGCGCGTCTAAGTACTATGTACATAATACTCGTTTTACGGCGATTTCTCAATAGGTTGCTTGGAGCGTTCATTGATGTACGCTCGTCATTCATTGTACAACGAATGTGAAGCTCAATCAAGAAATGGCGGGCTCGTTCATCTTACAGTTGCTTCTGTTTATTTAGAACTTGGAGGGTTCCGAAGATGTTTAGAGGTAAATAAGTTTTTTTATTTAATTCATTGTGTTTATAAAGTAATGATCACACATATTAAAGGGATTACAAGGAGCTCATAAAATAGCAGTTAATATTGGTGACCCTGCATTAGAACTTCAAGTTTATGTTCTTTTATCAGAGCTTTTTCATCGGCTTTGCGATTTTGAGAAGAGTGCAAGGTATGCTAGTAAAGCATATGACCTTTCACGTTCATTGCAATTAGGTGATCTCAATTCACGTCATCATCGTGCTGCATTATTACGAATGGCATCGGCACTAAATAAACAGGGAGAGTTGGGGGATGCTCGAGATTATGTGGAAGAAGCAACTCGATTAGCTTTAATCTCTGGAGATCAAGCAACTTACACTCGAAGCATAAGAATTATGGGAGATATATATAGAAAAAAGCTTGATATCGATGTAAGAGTAAAATTTCAGAATCTTTTTGATGTATCTAATTTATTTGAAAATAAAACAATTTCAGAGAGCATTTCGACAGTATGAACAAGCAATGGGTGCTGCTGCAAATATGGCAGACAGAATGTCACAAATGGAAGCAATGGATGGAGCAGCAAGATGTCTGGAATCACTACGTTTACAAGTAAATTTTTGTGTCATTTTTATCATAAATAAAAAATATTTATAAATTTATCTAATAGAATAAAATATGCAGTTGTCGGCCATTGGAATTTAACACACGTTTATTAGAAGTGTGCAACTCAATCGGGTCTAAAGTAAAAAAATAAAGGCTTTATTCGATTAGATAATGATTTTAACTTCTTAATTGTAGATGCTTGTACGTAAAGTGAGGTTGCGATTGGCCCAAATCTATCGATCACTCGGTGATGAGGAAAATTACCAAAATCATATAAAGTTAGCCACACAAACTGAGCACTCTTTGGGTTTAAATTGCTGTTTGTGTGGAGAAACGTACGGTTTACAAAATGATTCATTGGAGGCGTTGCCATGTGCTCATATTTTACATCATCGATGTGCACAGGAAATTTTGCGAAATCGTGATAAGAACAACCCAAGACAATGTCCGGCTTGTAATCAATTGTTCAACTCAAACTTACATTTATGTGCCAAACTTCCAGCTGACAACGATGACATTATCAATGACACACTATTGTTGCACGCCAATTCGATTCGCCCAGCATATCGTCGCAGTAATTTATCTTTAGCATCATTAAACTTGCGAGCTTCGAGTCTTACAATCAACAGTGATTGTAACATAACATCTTCGGTATAAATAGAAAATTAACATCTTAACTAAATAACATGGGAAATAATTTGGATGCATGAGTCAAAAATTCGTCTCAACATTTTGAGAAAAAATTAAATCAATTTTTTGTTTTAAATTATTTTATCCTTCAAAAAATAATAATCTTGAATCCTAATTCATTCCAATACCTTAAGTATGCATATACGTATGGGATGATTTTCAGATTAAAACATCTTGTTGGCTCTTTCTCAATTATAAAGAGGTATTATTTTTCTTAACTTCTTTTTCGATTATAAATCATAATAACATAATTTTATATCTAAGCCTTAAAATTTCCTATGAAATTGTTATGTTTATTATTAATTGTTATAAAATATTTCTTCCAAAATGTTCTCGCATTGGGACAATTTTTAAATACTCATTAGATCTTAGAAAAATATCTTCTTTTTCTTAGAAAGAAATAACGCAATTATCTTTGACCCACAATATTTTAACTAATGTTTAAACTTATTGTGGGCTTTCATTTTTCAACTTTCAATAATTTTTATATATCTAGGTAGAACATATAAAAAATCTAACGAGTGATAAAAAAAATGTTATGAAATTTTTTTAATACATTAAATTTGTTTGAATTAACACATTTTTAACAAAAGAAGATACAATATCGTTATTTGTTATGATGTCTGAAAATAAAATTGGGAATTAAACAAACATCAAACATAAGAAAAAGAGATAAGAAATAAGTAGAACAAAACAGCTTTATATTAAACTATAATTACTCTTGTATGTTTGATTAGATACCTACTTGTATATTCTATTATGGCTTTTCTTCTATAAATGATTCAAGCTATCATTTAATTCAATAAGTAACATTCTTCAATTTTCTTAAGTACATAGATAGATTTTCCTGTATTTTCTCTTATTACAAAAACAATGGAAATTGTCCAACATTAATCCAAACGTTAGTCAGAAGAGATATGTATAGGTACGATGAGGCTTGTCACAAGGTTTGAATTTGTATATCAAGCTGATAATTGAAATACCAATAGTTTACTCAGTGTATGTTCTTAGATAGCAAATTAATAAGATATTATTTAATTAAACTTATTGCCGTCAAATTGAAAAAAATGAATTAAAATCACCATCCAAGCGAACTGAATAATTTTTGAGCCGACAATTTTTTTAATTTATTCTAAATTTGCCTTATCTCTTTTTTTATAAAGCTTGATTATTTTAGATACCTACACAATGAGATATTCTGAAACAGAAAATAAATGTATTTCAATAAATTTATTATATACAATTAGATATATATATGTATATGTATACTACCTTTTTAGTTTTCTTTTCACAAATTTTTATTTGCGATATTCAGATCTGAATAACATTGATCTTTTATTTTTTTATGAACTCCTGTAATAATAATCTATTCCGCACGATATAGAAAAATCCCACATGTTGATCCAGTTCGAAAGCAATTAGATAATCTGAATGTATAAAAATCAATTATCAAATTATCTTAGATATTATAATTAGGTATTGGTTTTGTTGAATTGCCATAATTTTTAATTATAAAATTAAGGTTCTTTTTGTGTGACTTATCGTTAACCATGGATATTTTTTGCTTCTTGAAGTAAGCGTTCATCAAGCATTTAAACAAATTATAAGACAATTGTTTTGAATTCCATGGTTTTCGGTAAGTTCAAAAAGTTTGAAAGTAGATTTTAATCGATTTTTATTTAATCTAACTTACATGGATCGGAATTACAAAATCTTCCTTCTCAATTTGCATCAATAAAAAATAAGACACACAATTTATATATAAAGGTAAAATCCTTTAAAAGTTAACATAAAATTAAAGTTGATTTTTAAAAACTGGAAAGATATATTGAAGCTATTGTGATATAGACAAGAAACAACTTAAACAGTTCATGTTAAATATAAAGTAAAATTATATTTGAGCAATTCAATAAAATTAACGCTATTTAATTAACTGACGAACATTTTTTGCAATTTTATATAAATTTTAATTATTCTTATAAGATATAAAAAGCCATTCCGCAATCATCAATACAGGATCGAGTGATATTATTTGAAGTAAAAAATTAACAGAGCATAAGTTTTTAAATTTTTTTCCTATCCCTTTTTAAGAACAAAAAATTGCCTTTGGCTCCATAGTTGTGTACCCCTTGAGTTATATTGTCCGGGGAGACCGAATTAAAAATTGATTCTACATTTAATTTTAAAAAAGAACATGATCCTATTTGTATATTTCTATACTGTGTAAATGTTTGAGCCGTGATTCCGAAATAATATATAATAATATTAAATGATTTAATCCTATCCTTTCAATTCGGTTTATTTCTTAGCGTTTAAGAAAACTTTCAATTTTTGTGATAGAATTTTTCGAAAAAAATCAATAACTTTTATATCGCGATAAGTTTAATTTTTGAAGATGTGTTGAACCAATAATTTTGATAACTTAGGCTTTTCAAATTTAATAAATTTATTAGCATTTTTAAATTAAAATGGCCCAAGTAAGTATAAAATAATTTTTTACATTAATTTGAAAATGAATATTCCTAAAAATAAAAATTCATTTCAATAATTTTTCCACCATAGCTTTTTTTTCCTTTTCATTTTTAACCAAGAAGAAAAAGTCTAAAAATCAGAATATAAAATTAACATTTTAAATCTAAGACGATATATTTTTTTATTGTCGTGGATATTTTTTTTTCTCTATATGAATAAGAAATTGTGTATGTTAGTGAATTGTCACACCATATTCAAATTTTTTTTATAATACGTATATGTGCGAATATGAACAAAAATTTTGCCTTGAAGAACAGAGTAGTAAGACGAAAGAAGAAATTACTCGAAACTCGCATCAAATTTATTCTTTCTTGAAATTCAAATTGAGAAAATATTCTCTATATAATGAAGATATTGACTGTTATCCTGCAATATTATAATGAACGAGAGAGTAAAACAAGTCAATTTCCTTTTTTGCATTTCCCTTCTCAACATCATTCTATATACTAATTTGTAATAAATTTCAATCATTTTTCTATATATATACATATATATGAGCTATATACAGATACAAGGTGATGCGGCCGGAGAGAATTTGTATATAGACAAACTCGGAAAGCGGATTAAAGCAGCTTAAAAAGTTTTTGTTCTTGTCAACTAAAAGATAATTTTTTTGAGAATCCTCAAATTTATTGCAACGATTTGCGGAAATTATTTAGATCAGATACATTAATTATTGAGCGTTCCGTTTACAAATGAGGCTAGCTGTATTAACGTCATTAACACACCGCGGATTCATATAAATATGTGTGATTTCTATACATATATCCAATAGATATTTCGACTTTTATATGTTTCATTCAGTCCATTATTTTTTTTGTTTTGATAAGTATGGAACAAAGCCTTGATGGTCTTCTCTGTGTTGTCGATTCACGAACTAAAAAAGTGAATTCAGAACCATGCTGACTTTTATTTGGCACACATTAAATAATTTTTACTTGATATCATTGTTTCATCAAATCATATAAATCACAATTTGGATTATGAAACTTTGGCATAATCGTTTTCTATGAGCTGATAGAAAATATTACATATTATTCTTCTATTTATTATTAATAATGTCAAATCATCAAATCTATAAATTTGCAGAGAAAATTTTTGTAAATTGTTAAACAATTTTCCAAAAGAATAATCATAATAATCTTGCCATGAATACAATTTACCGGTTTCTACTTATTCTCGCTCGCAACCCCTTAGTTTATTCCATTGCGCAATATCCATTTTTCTTCTTCATTCCTAACAAGTCTTCTAAGTTTCTTTATGTTTTCCCTGTAAATCCTTCAAAGAGAGAAAAGCGAAGATGTAAAAAAAATATGTATACATAATTTTACATGGATAGCTTCTTGGTGTGAATGTTGATTAGCTTAAAAATTTGTAGATATTTTATTTTTTCTTTTTGGATTTTGAAGGTGTTCAATAATATAAGTAAATTAATTTGTATTTTAATGAAGATTCCGTCAACATCTGATACATCAGCAAAAGGAATATTTGGCATTGATCTGAGCTCGTATTTTAATCCCACTGAGAATGAAGCACCGATGATTGTGATGATGCTAACATCTGAGATTGAGCGTCAGGCTAAAATTCAGACGAAGCTTGATTTATACAAACTTTATCGTACAAAAATTTCATTGGAATGCTTAATCGAATTAAGAGATATCCTCAACACAACCAATAATGATCAATTACAACAAATCGATCTTAAAAAATACGAAATTCAATACTTAGTTAGCATACTCAAGCGCTTTTTGCGTGAGTTGCCAGATCCAGTCATACCAGTAAAATGGTACGAACAATTCATTAACGTCTTCAAACAAAACACGGAAAAGCAGACCGTCACTCAACTAATGCATTTAATCGATACGGAATTTCCTGAACATCATCGTGTGACACTCAAATGGATCATGGGGCATTTATGTCGAATTTGTTGTATGCAGTTTGATCGAGGTATACAAGATAATCCTCTACCTTTAGGTGAGCTTTTTTTAAATTGATTTTTAAAACACATCAAGAAGAATAATTTCGTTTCTTTCATCAGTACAAGTCTTTTGTCACATTTTTCTTCGTCCTGTCTGGAGAGATATTGTTCAAATTGTTTATAATACCCCAGAACATATAAGAATCATGGAGTTATTATTATTGCACGGTAATTGGAAAGTGAAACTTCCTGAGTTTGTGAACGCGCCTGCTTTACCACCAAGAAAGTCATCACGAATAGCTCCAATGGCAATTGTCTCACCACAACCTCATGTAGCGCCTCAATTAAATCAAATGCCGGTACCATTGAAACAACAGTCGGCTCCTCAACATCAACAAATTCAAGAATGTGTGTATAATGTTGCAATGAACAGTCCTACAACACTGTCAAACATTACTAACGTTGGTACTACAAAACCATTACCACTCGTTAAGCAATCGTCACAAAAAACAATTGTGCAGACAGCTTCAAGTGGAACTAAAAAGGAGAGCACCAATTTGAATGATGCTGAATGGTATTGGGGTAATATATCACGTGACGAAGTAAAAGAAAAGCTTATGGATGCTCGTGATGGTACATTCTTAGTTCGTGATGCTATAAGTGGATGTGGTAAGTGTAATTTAGTAATCAGTTAAAATGTTAATTCATAATTTCAAATAGAAAGCATGTTTTGATTGCTTCCAACTTATTTTTACAATGTTGTTTTTTATTCTTAAAGGTGAATACACATTAACACTGAAAAAGGATGGAACTGACCGTGTTATAAAAATATTCCACAACAACGGTCGTTATGGATTTCTAAAGGATTGCACATTTCCATCTGTTGTGGAACTCATAAATTTCCATCGAACATATTCACTGAAAGAGTACAATTCAGTTTTAGATATAAAATTAATGTATCCGGTGTCACGCTTTGCGTATGACGACGAATATCACAGCTTAATGGAGAATAAGGATGCGTTGGTTCAGAAGTTTGTGGATGTGACAACAGAAATCAAGACACTTACACATAGTTTAGAGCAGTACCATGAAAATTATAAGCGTACAGAAAATGACATTGGTTTTAAACGTCAAGCACATGAAGCTTTTATGGAAGCTGAAACGATGTTCAAAGAGCAGATTGATATTCAAAATCGTTATAAGGAAGAAGCACAGCCTCATGAGAAAAAGAAGTTGGATGAGAACAGTGAGTTGCTGCAGCAACGTTTGACAGCTCTCAAAGATTGTAAAAAAAATTTGGAGTCAGATCTTGATCAGCAACGTCGACAATATCAGAAATTAGAACTGGATATCAACAAATTGAAGCTTGAAATCAATGCACTTCTTCGACAAGAGAAACGATTAAAGCAGATGATGTCTTCCCAAAACATTTCGGAGACATTAATAAAGCAAATTATGGATGAAGGTACAAGTGCATGGCTGGCACAAGATTCCAATGAACATTTATATGATGAGCCGAGCTGGTATTTTCCAAAATTCTCACGGTCTGATGCTGAGAAATGTTTGGCTGGAGCTCCAGTTGGTACCTTTTTGATAAGATTAAGCACAGCTAATCACGCTTTTGCGTTGTCGATTGTTGCTAATGGCACTGTTAATCATTGTATTATCTTTGAAACCGAGCATGGTACATTTGGCTTTGCTGAGCCTTACAACATTTATAAGTCCCTGAAAGAGCTCGTTCTTCATTATAGCATTAATTCTTTAGAAGAACATAATGAATCATTACAAACAACATTGAAGATTCCATATTACGCATATGCACATTCGAGTTCTTCGTCAACTATGTCCAATGTGTCGTCAAGCGGATCAAACCCAAGTACAACCCAGTTATCATTTCAGTTAAATAATTAGACTAAGAAGGATAATAAATAATAATATTTCATGTGAAACAAGTACACAAACAAAACAAAATTAAGAAAAGAAAAATAATTTAATTTTAAGATGTCGTAGTGATGAACGTTTAGGATGAAATGAAGAATGAAAATTAAAATTAAATCATTTCTTATCAAGAGAAAATGGATAGAGAAAACAGAAATTACACCATGAAAAGTCGTGTGAGAAAGAAGTATTTGAGAGAGATTTCTTACGTCAAGTGCAATTCCTTTTGACGCAAACTTGATAAGATTAATGAGATACTTGAGTGTATGTACTTTTGAGATTTGCTTTTAGACTTTTCTCCCCCTTTTAGAAATGTTTGCAGAAGAAATCTTATCGTTGACCTTAATTATTGTAGAGCATGATTGATATTTTAGGATATTAAATACATATATAATTGAGATGACTGTGTAGAAAAGAAAACTTGACAAACAAAACTGAAATTCTGAAATTTAGTGTGTACGAATTGCATTTGCCGTTATTATCTCTTTCTTCTTAATGAATGAAAACTTGTCCAACTCTCCGCGAGATGAAGAAAAGTATTTTATAAACTTTCAAATGAAAGGGGAGGGGAGAGGGAAATCTAAAGAGTTGCGATAAAAACAACTACAAAGAAAAAAATATTTAATACAAATTTTGAATCTTATTTGCGTATCTGCATATACTCGATCGATATAATTGTTTTCTCTTATTAAAAAAAAATAATATTTTTCCACAAGTTGTTAAGAATTTTCAAGTTGTCTTGAATTCATTTAAAGTGATATGTGCGATTATTTTTATGGAGGGTTTGAATGTTTTAGAAATTTTTCAAAATTTGCTAAAGAATCGGTCACTTTTTTACGATATTTATGTAAAGGTATGAACTAATTCATCTTTTTCTAAAAATTTGAAGGATGTCATGGACAGATACATAATTTCACTTCACACTTGAGACGTGCAAAATCTTAAATGAAATATTCAACTAATAATATAATTTTTACAATTCACACTGATAAGAAAGACTTCTCTCGAAGTTTAATTTTATGTCATTGATGAAAACTTTAAAAAAGAAGAATTATGTAAGACAAAAGTGAAAGTCAATTTAATTTAAAAAAAAAAACCGAAGACGTACATGCATCTGTACATTAATGAATTCAGTCGATGCCGATACGGCACAAAAGAAAATTTAAAATTGAGATAAAAAAATACTTAAGTTTGTGAGAAGGAAGAAATGGAAATGCCATTTGAAAACAAAACAAAAAATGAATTCAAGTCACAATAGACGATGTGATTTAATTTTACGGAAAAAAAAGAAAAAGAAATATGTTGCGAATGATTAAAGAGCTCGTAAGTGGTCTAAAATATGTAAATATCTAATAAGGTTTAGACATTCTTTCTTATTATGATTAAATTTTGTTTTTCATATTTTGATTGAGAAGACATGAAAAAATATATCAGAAGGAAAAAAATCGTGTCCATTGATACAAAAAATTCTTTGCTAATTAGCTATTTATAATTTTCCATGTGTACTATTATTTGATAATAAATTCACTACTGAAAGATACAAATTTAGTAAAGAGTTTTGTAGATTGACATATTTAAAAACGGTTGAAGTCAACATAGTAACGCATCAGTGAATTCGAAATTCTTAAAATTCATTACACTAAATAGGTTTGCTGATACAACAACTACAAAGATTTTATAAAATATAAGAAACAAGAAGAATGTAACGCGCTACATAAATAGGTAGTTTTTCCTCTGAACACTAAACAAACATTTTTCACTTTAACAATATTTGAAAAAAAACAAGACTTTTTTTATCTTCTCATTGATCGCTTAACGGTCATACACAAAAACAACAAATGATTTTTAATATTTATATTCAAACAAATTTCATGATGATGATTTAAAATAATGAAAAAGAAACAAAACTAAATTATCTGTGAAATGTCTTTATATAATTATATAAGAACAATAATAAAGATACATAAATTCAAGCACGTATTGTTAGATATTCTTTTTTTAATCAGAGTGCTTTTTTATTTATTCAAGCTCGTTAAAATTGTTTTGATAATCACATTGAATTAAACCATTACAGATAATCGAACTGAATTCTTCCCTTGAAATGTCTTACCAATCAAATGGTGAAATTTATTATCAATATTTTTAACGGTAACGAAGACTTTAAATTTATTATGTATTTTAGAACATATTTGAGCTATAGCTTAGTTATAGCTCAGTCTATATCTATGGAATTAAGAAATAAAATTTGCCAATATTTTAAAATTTGAAATTTGAACAGATTATATCTAGAAATTTAACTTTAAGACGTCGAAAAGCTATTACTATAAGATTTTTACTGTAAATAATGTCAACAAGAAGTTGTCTTCAAAGAGATTCAGACGCAGAAAACTTACTTGAAATCAGCAGTGAGTATTATTATAATGAAAAAAAGTAAATAGAAAACATTTTGATATCTAAATAAAACTTGTTGCGCTCTTCATGTCAATGGTAATATTTTAAATCTTGAAAAATATCGTCATGATTTTATTGAAAGTTTTAAAAAAGTTGGAAATTTTATTCAGCATACGGCAGAAAAATGTCCAATAGAAAATTTTCCAAATTTTCAAAATTAACTTCACACGTAAATGACTTTTAGGAAGTCAAGTTGATTTATTCTGTCATAGATCTCAAATAAAACCCAACTCTTCACATTTACAGTATTACAGTGTGTACACCCAACTATGCTTACTTAATTTGTTATGATGTCATTTAACTCTACCCTGATTTTGGCAAATAAAATCGCATGCAAATATTTAAAAAAAATAAAATGATTGAATAAAGAGTTTTACAAAAGTCCTCATTGTTAAAATCATAGTACTCATGGTCCTTTCATATAAAAACATAAACCATATGTTGTTTGACCTTGTCAGTTACACCCTTTTCCAACCAGCAGATACTTCCAACTTGCACCCTCACCTTTGAATTGGGAGTAGTAGGTATTATATTTTTCTCTTACTTGCAAATTTTATGTTTGATTTGTATTTACCAAAGGTTAAGTTCTAATTCTAAAAATTATTTTATCTTAGGTCATGTTTGAAAAATCATATTTTTACGATACTTTCTGAAATCTGAACCATTTCCTATTCGGATATCAAACAACAAATCAAAATTAGTATTCAACACACCTTAACATGCTTCCAGCTTTTATTTAGAAGAATAATAACCATTCTTTGCGTATATCTTACACACTATTGCGTATGGTTTTGTCGTTATCGTGTGGTGATATAAAGTTTTGTCCTGTGATGATTATGACGGTGACACTGATTAATGTCAAACTATAAAGGTTTTCATAAAATAGGCTTGGCTTAAAATCTAATGTCTATAAAAGAAAACCCTTGCCTCAAAAAAAAAAACGAAAAAGTTTGTAAAGAAACTTCTATTGTTATATACTTTCTCTAATCAAATTTTCAGTAATAATTAAAGAAAATCATAGAAAGTTATTGCAAGTTTCTGTTTTGATAACAAATAAAGCGTTATCAAGCAGATTGTTTTAAGATAAAAACATTTCAAGTTCTCGCGAATTGATTAATTTTTCGTTAAAAGCATCTGGACGGATAGTTGTTATATCTAGAAGTAATTGATATAACAAAGCGATCAATAAACTACATTTTTTAAACTAGAAAGATAATGCTGTTGGCCATATCTAGACTCGATTATATCCTTTCTAACTCAGCCCTTCCTTTTGATCATTTTCCAACTTCAAATGTTTGCTTACGAGTTAGCTTACGAATGATTATCGCCATCACGCAATAGACCTTGAATTATAGCACTGATAAGTGCTGGGAATGGGAGACGTTTTTCCGTGTTTGTATTGTAATACATTGACGAAAAGAAACGACTGCATGAAAAATTCTCATCAGTTTAGTTTTCATTTGAACATCGCGGTGTCAACATTTGAAAGCGGAAGATAAGAAACTATTATTTATTATAATTTATATCCTTTATATTACCCTCAATTTAAACATTTACAATGGTTTTCTGATATTGTCTTAAATCTACAGAGACAACCTAATTTTGTTCTTATTTTAATAAGACAAAAATAAGAAACTCAAAAAGCAACCTAAATAAATTTCTACCCCGTGAAAATGTCATGGAAATAAATCTTTATTGAGTGTGAAAAGATTGCTAAAGAATAAGAGTTAAGAGTTTGGATTGTTAATTTGTTAAAGTTTGAAACAAAAAAAGTTTGCTTTACGTTTATTTCAATTTAAAATGTCAGGAACTGAAACACCTAGAAACAACAAAAAACTGACCAGAGACACCATGGAAAGTGAGGATCGGGATGTAGATGAAAACTCGATTCCATTATCGCCAGTGAATCGAATGTCATTTAGTTCAGAGAATAGTGGGATGAGTAATAATAAAAATAATAATAGAAATCGCGAAAAATTTAAAAAGAGAAAAAATAGGGTTGCTCATTGCTGGTACCAGCATGCTGGTTTTTGTTGGTTTTTCCTCCAAAAAACCGCATGCTGGT